TTACGCTTGGTGTAAGTCTACTATATTAATAAGTTACACTGAGGGTAAACTTGTTATGTTATTAAATTATACTAGACGTAATTGAAGAAAATATTGCTTATATAAATGACTTCAAAAATAGAGAAAGTTAATTTGGAAAAGGTAGGAAGTGATGCTATAAATAAGAACATCTGAAATGTTTTAAAATATTGATATTTCACATATCAGTCACAGCGACAAAAAAAAAGAAGAAAAAGAACTACAAAATGATACACTTTCTATGAATTGAAACTACCAAGATATTTACATATATATGTGTGTGTGCGTAAAATCTATTTTTTTTACAAACCAAAAACATTTTCTTCTTTAAAAAATAATGTATTAATCGTTAGTAAATACGTCAGAAACATTCAAGAAACTGATCGAGCGTGATCTAGTGGCGCCGGGCTACGGATAGAAGGATCCTTGGTTCGAGCCGTGATGCTGCTGAACACTTTCTGCATGTATTGCTGTGAGCGTGTTGTAAAAATGATGGTCAAGCCCGATTTTTGTTTCAGAGTAGGCAGCGAATCAATAGCTCAAAATTATGAACGGTTACATGTTGTATAAGGTGTTGTTCAGGTTCAAAATTCCAATTCCAAATCGGGGGTAAAATAGGTACGAGATCGATTTGTGAATTTTCCAAATTTGTTAAATAAGTTTTAAAGACGTTATGGGTATCTATGGTGTCTCATTTTAACAACATGGAAAAGTTTACATTAGTTTAGAGTAATAAGTAATCAGTAAATTTCTAATGAAAAAAGACGAGGATAAAAACTATAGAAAATCAAGCTTGGCCGAAACTAAACCTATTGGCTAACAATTACCGAAAATAATTGCATACGAAAGAAAAAAGCCAAGAGATACAACTGCTCTTCATCTCCGTCGCGAGATGTTACTTCGATGAATGGCATAGAGCGAGACAAGAAGATTTTTGAGCGTTTTACTTGTAAAATATTTGTGAAGGCATAGCCCCCTTCCTCTTCTGACGATCAGACACTGACTGAACGGTTACTTTTTGTTTTAGTTTTAATAATATATCTCTTAAATATTCTCCTTTGCTGTAACGGCTCAATACACCTGTATATCATTGTTAAGGTAAATTTTTCTTGGGAGTTTTAATACACTCTTTTGATATTGTAACTTATTAAATTTATTGTAACAAAACTGTATCTTTTTAGCACGCTTCCTTGCTTTCTTGATTTAAAAGAGAGAACGGAAAAATAACCTTCTCAACAAGATTAAAATTACCAATATTAGATACTATAAGTTTAAAACTATATTTTGAATACATTAATCTTCAGAAGCATCTTTGCGCAAATTCTACGTTAGGGAAGCTGATAATTTTCCACTGTAACTCATTTCTGTGAAATATGTTGCTTTCTGTCGTTTATAAGGCTGTTCTGGCGGAGTTGTGGGGATATAATTTTAAATGTAACCTAGAGATGGCAGCACTATAACATGCCACTTGGAATCTCGGTAGTTCAATTTTACCGTCACAGGATGCCTTTCGGCTACTTCTGACAGGTTGCTCGACTCACAATCTGAGAGTCGCGGGTTCGAATCCCCGTCACCGAACATGCTCGCCCTTTCAGCCATGGGGCGTTATAATGTGACGGTCAATCTCACTATTTATTGTTAAAAGAGCAGCCCAAGGGTTGGTGGTGGGTGGTGATGACTAGCTGCCTTTTCTCTAGTCTAGCACTACTAAATTAAGGACGGCTAGCGCAGATAGTCCTTGTGTGGCTATACGCGAAATTCAACCCAACTGAGTTATAGGGTTAACCCACTAGCGGCTCCTAGTAACATCACTTTTTTTGACAACTCAACTTACAACTTATGAAGATCCAGTCAAAACATTTTACACTATGTATTGGCGAGGGGAAAAAAAGAACGCGTAACGATAATGACGAAACAGAGGAGATAACAATTCCCGTGTTCTCATTCCTCTTTTTCTGTTTAACAAATATCTTAATATAGCTTCCTTGAATACAAAAAAAAAAGAATACACTTTTTACCTGACTGTTTTTTTACAGAAGAACTTAAGGAATGTTTTGACGAAATTGAAATACGAAACGGCATTATACAATGACCCATGGAAGACATAAAACGACATAATAACAAGACCAACGGAAATATGAAATTATAAGTAATTTTACTCAAAATCTTACTCTTACTCTTGTTTACATTTTTCTTTATGCATTACTAGTAATATCAGTTAAAGTACGGTTATTGATTTGTTGTTTTTCCTGAGCTCGAACTGATTGATATGTGTCACAATGAGAAAAAGATGGTGCAGAAAAAGATGAGTCAATTTACTTTATATACCACGAGAAATAAATGTATTCGGAAAAGAGCATCAATGGAAAGCGACTTTGCCGGCTGTTAGTTAGT